AGCATTGTGCGAACATCAAGCAGGGAGAGGGCCTTTCTGTCTGTGATAGTTGGGAAAGGGTTCACATGGGAGGTTGAAGTGAGTCTCATTCCCCTGGTTAACCACAAGAGGACAGCAAAGAGGCCTACACTGCAGTTCACTGACTCCATACTTTCTGACCCTCAGTTTTCTTTCTCATCTGTAAAATACAGTCCTAAAACTCTTCACAGTACTAAAACGAAGACTAATGAAAAATAAGGATGGCAGGTAGCTCAGTGGTAGCTCACTTGCCTAACATATGCAAGGTACTGGGCTCTATCTCCAACACTTAAAACTAGTTGTAAATCACTTACTGTTTATAAGTTAAAGAAAATAGTATAAAAGACTGTTAATGAGCCTAACAAACCAAACTACATTTTACAATTGAAACTGCAACACCCTGTAAGAGAGCAGCACTTAAGTACTAACTGCCACTTACACTTTTTTTCCCTATTCAACTGCCTAGTTGTGGTGAGGTGTATGGCCCTTATCACTAAACTATTTTTAAAAACATTGCATCCACTTTGTTCAGCACAATGACACTTAACATTTATAAATCACTCTTCACTTTCAATGGACACGGCAGACATCACTTAATTAGTTGTCACATAATTGAAGTTATTTTTCATTAGTCTAATTACAAGTGGACCAGATTAACTGAAGCAGTGAATGCAGGTGACAGGAGGACCAGAGCCAGGGTGAGGGCTCTACCTATTTATAGGTGAAAACAAATCTTCACCAATAAAGTACAAAATTACTAAAAATGGGAAAAAATCAGTTTCTGAACATTTTACCACTAAGAGCCACGTGTCATATAAGGAAAGGGATGAACTATAATAGCTTATATCTACTCCTCCACAATATTCTGTATATACCAAGAAAGAAAGAAAAGCAAGTCAACAGGGAAGGAAAATACTTCCCTTATCAAAAAGGCTTTCACTATTAAGATTTCTGCGGCAATTCCAAATACCCGAGGAAAACCACCTTTTAAGGAGGAATCTTTATTTCAGTCCATGTTTTCAAAGGTTTCAGTTCAGGGTGAACCAGTCCATTGCTTTCAGGCCTGTGGAATTGGAAATATAGCAAAACTGTTTACCTAATGGTGCCTGGGGAGCAAAGAGGAGGAAGGGGTGCTGGTCCCTGAAAATCAATTACCTTCACTAGACCCGATTTCCTAAAAGTTCCACTGCCTCCTGCCAGCACCACAGGCTGGTGAACAAACACATGGACTTTAAAAAATTATGTATAACTGGGTGGTGGTGGTGGTGCACGCCTTTAATCCCAGCATTCAGGAGACAGGTGGGTCTCTGAGTTTGAGGCCAGCCTGATCTATACAGTGAGTTCCAGACAGCCAAGATGGTTACACAGAGAAACCCTGTCTCAAAAAAAATAAAAAGTATATTCTTCTGTAATTTCATATATTAATACAATGTATTTAGGTCATATCTATGGTGATATTTTATTATCTAACAAATAAAGCTTGCCTGAAGATCAGAGTGCAAGGCCAGGCAGTGGCGGTGCATACGTTTAATCCCTGCACTTGGGAGACAGAGACAAACAGATTTGTTAGTTCATGGCCACCCTAGGCTACACAAAATTGATCCAGTCTAAAAGAGAAACAGAGCTCACACAAAGTTGATCTCAGCTCTTGGAGCAACACACCTTTAATCCCAGAACTAAGGAGGTACAGACAGAAAGGGATATGGCTGGGCAGAGAGAGGAACATAAATTGGGAGGAGAGAGGAGCTCAGGGAAGTCTGAGCAGCAGTCAGTCTGAGGCAGTCAGTCTGAAGCAGTCTGAGGATGCAGTGTGAAGATGCAGTCTGAGGAGCAGTCAGTCTGAGGATGTGGTCTGAGGACACGATTGCCCCTTCAGTCTGAGGTAGACATAAGAGATAGTGGTTGGCTGCTTTGCTTCTCTGATCTTTCAGCTTTCCATGTAATATCTGACTCTGGGTTTTATTATTAAGACAAAAGAGAATTTGTGCTACACATATCCTTGCCCCAGGCCTGCCACCATATCCCCCTTTCAACAGTTAGGGGTAGAGTATCCTAAGTCCTACCTTCATCCATGTTGGAGTGTTGACTAGCTTGATCTTGTGCAAGTATCCAGCAGGCAACCACAGAGGGTTGGTTGGCTTGATCTTGTGCAAATGCTGGACAGGCAACTACAGTTGCTGAGTTTAGGAGTGTAAGGGCTCTGTTATGTTCATAAGACACTACTTCATAGTAGTCCTCCTTGACCTCTGGTTCTTACAATCTCTCTGCCTTTCTTCCTCAATGTTCCCTCAATATTCCCCTCTCAAAGCCTTGTGGGAGGGGAACATGATACAGATATCCCAAACATGGACCTTCACAAGTTTTTATTATTGTGCAAGGGCACACATGTCATGGCATATGTGTGAAGGTTAGAGGACAACTTTGTGTAATTGATTCTTTAATTCTATATTTATGTGGGTTCAAACACAGGTTGCCAGTCTTGTACAGCAAGCCCTTTTATCTGCTGAGCCTAACACATGGACCTTTGAGAGATACTTCAGACTGAAGCTATAATACATGACTATCATTCACATGAAGGCTGAATTTTTCAGTGTTAAAAAAATGTTTTTCAGCCGGGCGTTGGTGGCGCACGCCTTTAATCCCAGCACTCGGGAGGCAGAGACAGGCGGATCTTTGTGAGTTCGAGACCAGCCTGGTCTATAAGAGCTAGTTCCAGGACAGCCTCCAAAGCCACAGAGAAACCCTGTCTTGAAAAACCAAAAAAAAAAATGTTTTTCAAAGCCAGCCTTGTCTACAGAGTGAGTTCCAGGACAGCCTCCAAAGTAATACAGAGAAACCCTGTACTGAACCCCCCTGCCAAAAAAACCACCTTTAAGGATCCTGTGCTGTTTTGTAGTACAGTGTTTATGAACATGACACAGAAATCAAAAGATTGCAGGGAACCAAATCCCAACTGACACATCTACATTACACCTCCTGCATCTATTTTTCAAACAAATTCATGCTTTGGGTATTTCATGTGACACATTTTAAACATATTTACCCTTTTCACCCAACTCCTCCCATAATTACCTTCACTACCCTCCCATTCCTTCTCATACAATTTTGAGATTTTTTTCTTCCATCAAGTCCAGTTTGTGTTGCTAGTCTTGGGAGTGTGGCCTGTCACAGCCCATGGTCATCCTACCAGGAGGTCATCATTAAAGAAACCTCATTTTCTCTCAGCAGCTATCAAATGCCAATAGCTTCTTAGCTAGTGGTGGGAATTTGTGCCCACCCTCCCTGCTGTGCTGTGATCTTTTGTCTCACTGGAGCTTACACAAGTCTTGTGCATGGTGTCACAATCGCTGTAAGTTCATATGTACAACTGCCTGTTTGTATCCAGAAAATAGTTCCCTTGGTATTATTTACCACCTCTGGATCTCTCCAACTCCTCTTTTAAGAAGATCCCTGAGCTTTGGAGGGAGGTGTGGTGCAGATGTCCCCATTAGGGCTAAGCACTCCACAGTCTGCTACTCTGCATATTAACTAGTTGAGGGTCTCCATGTTAACTGCTATCTACTGCAAAGGAGATGCTTTTAAAAGAGAAACTGTTTTCTAGAATGGGTTTTTAAAAATATTTTTTTGTTTATTATGTATACAGTGTTCTATCTGCATGTATGCCTCTATGCTAGGAGAGGACATCAGATCTCATTACAGATGGTTGTGAGCCACCATATGGTTGCTGAGAATTGAACTCAGGACCTCTGGAAGAGCAGCCAGTGCTTTTAACCTCTGAGCCATCTCTCCAGCCCTAGAATGGGTTTTGAAGGCACCTTTATTTCTACAGCTTGGCGAACTAAAGTATAGAAAGAGTATCTCAAACTTTAAAGCAATTTCCCTTTTATATAGAAACTTAAATATATATTTATGAGAAAAACAAAGTTTAGACATCAAGAATTAACCAACAGGAAGTAATTTTATTATTGTGTTGTCATTTCTGCTTGTTCCAATGCTCCAAATGTTCTTATTGTGCCTGTAGAACCTTTATAAGTAGAAATAAACATACCGTTATATTTTTTAAAACTAACTAATTTGTACTTTCAGTATTTGTTTTATGAGCTAGGAAAGGAGTAGAAACACTGGTAAATTTGACAATAACAATACCATCTACTTTTATAAACCTGAAAGAAAGTATATCACAATTCTTTATTTTTTGAGACAGGCTCTCACTGTGTAGCCCAGGCTGGCCTGGAACTCAATACATAATTTACACTGGTCTTGAATTCCCAAGTGCTGGGATTACAACTGTATATGCTACACCTGGCTTTTTAAAAAATATGGAAGAGAAGGCAGAAGAGATGGCTCAGAGGTTAAGAGCACCGGCTGCTCTTCCAAAGGTCCTGAGTTTAATTTCCAGCAACCACATGGTGGCTCACAACCATGTATAATGAGATCTGGTGCCCTCTTCTGGCCTGCAGACATACATGCAGGCAGAATACTGTATGCATAATAAATAAAAATATGGAGGAGAGAGATGCCAAATCTTAGCAAATATTCAGTCATAATAAAATGTGGCTTATTTTAGTAAAGAAAACATTATGCTAGAAATTCCTTATATTAAAATGTTTCTTCTTTTTCATTTCTTCAGAGTACCTTGTGTATATACATCAAATACATACATACTCAGCATACAGCTCATTTTTCATTTGTATGAGACATAGATTAGATCCCTTTATTTTGTTTTTAAAATTAAAAATTGTATAACAACACACCCAAAAGCAAAATAAAAATTGTATCAACTTTTGGTATGAGTAAATATAGAAGTACTCTTCAAAAATTACTGTTAAACCATTTTAATATTTATTGCAAAGCATATTTTATAAACACTAGATAAATTTACATATAAAAGCTACACATAAATATACAGACACAAAAGAAAAATAGCACTATTAGCAAGAGAAGTAAACTAATAAGATGTTTAAACAAATGAGAATAAAAAATCATTTTTCATTGTTATTTATTTTTCATGAATTTAAATACAATGTAGTTAGTATATCATGATTACTACCAAAGTTTAGAATTATAGAAACAACTAACATAGAACTACTTATTTTTAAAAATCTTTCAAATATTCAACAGCCAGCTGACAGTTATTAATGTCAATAAATAGCCAACAACTGCAAAAGTTGTTTAGACAATTTTAGGCTTTGGTTAACAGGCTAAATTTGGTGGCAAAATCTTAAATTAATGTCCCCTTACATTATATTCCCTGAGTTTTTGCACAATGCTACAAATAAGATTTTAAAAAATCAAAGTATAGGTTTGTATAACATTGCATATTAGTTCTGAAAAAAACAAGTATTGAGATTATTTTAAATGTGAATGGTGACATTTAATAATGAAGACAGAAAAGAATGCATTTAATTTTAGCTTAACTCAGGGAAACATTAATGCCTCTCACCAAAATTTGCAAAGATCATTTGTAAAATATGACAGAAATCCTATTATACCTGCCAGCAGTTTTTATTTGCACCTCATGAGATCATATTGACTTTGTAAAACACAATGATTTTATGAAAGAAATGCTCAAATCATGACAGCACAAGGCTAGGCACAGTGTAGGTGCTCAATATTCTTAATTTAAAATAACAAAGTACTATTTCTACACATTAACAATTCAACAGGGTAGTTATAAATTGACGTGAAAATATCTGAAAGCATTTTAAACATGAAAATACACTTTTAGTAACAACCATGATAGGAATTTTTGTAAGTGGCCATTTTCAGTCTTTTTTATAAAAATAGTTTCAAATTCCTTTAAATGGGCCTAAGAAAGCTGTTCCTGTTTGTCCCTGCTAAATGTGATAAGACCAACCTATCAACACCTTCAGAACTGACTGATTAGTTTAGATAACAATACACCCTAAAGCAGTTTCCCTTGAAAACTGAGTTCGTACATTTGAAGACTTGATCTACCAGTGTGTATGTCTGAACAATTCCCATACCTCCTGGAAAATTACTATGACCAAATGGGTTTGAGAAATAATGATTTCCGGTAACAAAAACTTTTATCATACTTAAACATTACACAAGTTTAAAATGTATGGGTATTTTGAATAACCTGCCTAGCCTATCATCAGACCTTACCCAAAAGTATTCCTTACCTAAAAGTCACAGGTTTTGCTCTAGGTCTCTTGATAGTTACAAGAGCTATTAGACAGTAATCACCTCTGTCAAATCTGCTGGTGATTGGAGTTCTGTAGTTTTATGTTGCAAATACTTTTTCTTAATAGGAAACAGAAGAGTCATCTGGCAGTTGTATTTAAAACACAGTCATACTCGTGAAGTAGTTGGTTTTTCAAACAGCAATGCCAGTATCAGTCAGAAGTATTTGCAAAGTTGATTATGGAGTATCTTAGTTTTTTCATTCTTTGGAAATAGGGTCTCACTGTGTTGTCGAGGCTGGTCTTGAACTCCTGAGCTCTAGAGATTCCTCCACATTAGCATTCCAAGTAGCCTGGAAACTACAGATGGCACTCAGCTTTCAAATTCCCATTTCTTTAAAAATTTTCAGTTTACAAAATAGTATGTCAATTCCATGTACAAAATTTCATTAGTCACAAAATGCAAGAAGGAAATGAATATTTAACTGGATATCCATTTTTAAAAGTCCATAGGTTTAGTTGATTATCAAATTCCTCTAAATTAAAAGAGAAAATCAGAAACAAAAATATACTATCAAATGAATACCATAGAGCACTAAGGAAAGTTGGAAAGTTGAAATTATCGGAGATTTGGAAAACCTTTGTTATTGTTGTTTTTCTGGGACAGGTTTTCTCTGAGTAACAGCTCTGGTTGTCCTGGAACTCGCTCTGTAGACCAGGCTAGCCTTGAACTCACAGAGATCCACCTGCCTCTGCCTCCCGAGTGCACCACCACCACCCGGCGAGAACTTTTAATTAATATTAAAATCGTGAACTGGTAGCCACTTCTGTTCTCTAATAAGAGTATTAAATGAAAAGAAGTAAAACTGAAGGCTTATTGACGGGGCTAAATAGTTTACAAGATGATTAAAAACACTTGATATACATGGACTACTTTAGATCCTCAAGTAAATGAAAAGACATTCAGAGTTATTTAAAAATAGCCTTTAGCAATTATAGCATTAGTAAAAATTACTAATGGTCTAAGACGAATATATATCAGTATATTATCAAACTCTATATATAAAGGTTGGAAAGGGCTTAATACCACAATACGCTTCAAATCCCCATCTGTATCTCAGCAAAGTTATAGAAGCTGTCAACATCTCCAGATGCTGTCTCCTTCTTTTCGGATATAAACATCTATTTAAAATACAAAATAAACAAAAAAATTAGTTCTATAGCCCTTAAATACCAAAAGGCCACATCTTTATAGAACAAACTCATAAGCCTAGGGTTTTATTTTTTTAAGGTTTTAGATTTTTTATGTGTATGAATGGTTTGCCTGCATGTATGTATGTTTTTGGTTAGGAACCTTGCCTTTAACGGCTGAGCCATCTCTCCAGCCGGCACGTATGTATGTATACTATGCACGCATGTCTGGTTTCCTCAGAGGTCAGAAGAGGATGGTAGACTCCTGGAGCTGGAGTTACAGATGGCTGTGAGCCTATGGGTTAAGGAATATGCTAGAGATGCAAGTACTATTTGGTTGTAAGGGAAAGGTGATCAAATGGAAAGTTAGATTGAGATACAGTCAGTAAAACCTTATACCTTTGTCCCGTTGAATATCTCATTTACAATAAGGTGACATCCTTCGACAGCACCATCTCCATTAAATTCCAAGGCAACCACAGGACCTAAAATGAACCCCAAGAAGTGTTTTCTTAGCGCGAATATAAATATATGGTAAAACTAATCCTTATATTTTTTGTTTTAGATTTTTGACAGTCTCACTATGTAGCTCTGGGTGGCCTAGAATGCACTATGTAGATCAGACTGCCCTTGAACTCGTCTCCATCTCTCTGCCTTTGCCTCTTGAGTACTGGGATACAGATATGCACTACACCCAGCATTGATTTTTTTTATTCTCCCCTGAGAAATTTCCAGTATCTTCATCAGGTGGGAAAGAAGGAGGCAGACAGATGGGCACATCATTTCAGCTTTTCTCCCCTATCCCTATCATAAAACAAATAATGAGTCTCATCTTATGATGAGCAGGTCCAGTACTATATTATAGGACTAGTGCCACATTTAAAAAACATGTGTGTGGGGGTGTGAGTATGTGGGGTGCAGGTGCCTTGTGGAGGACAGAAGATGTCACTGGATACCCTGTAGCTGGAGTTATAGACAGTTGTTTCTGAGCTGCCAGATTTGGGTGCTGGTACCTGAATTCCAGTCCTTTGCAAGAGCAGCAAGCATTATTAATTGCTAAGCCATCTCTCTAACCCCCCTTACTGTCTGTCACATTTTCAACTGTTGGAAATTGTCTGTTTTCTCTGGTTTTTACTCTTCTTTTTAAAGCAAAACAAAACAAAACAAAACAAAAGAATCTCCACTCATTTAGCAGTAAAAAGACTAGTGGGCAAAATACCAAAGAAGATAAAAATAATTCAAGTCAACATTCATAGTCTTACCAGGCTGCCTGCCTTCGTTCCAGCTCCCCTACTTATCAGCCAAGTTCTAGCCCACCAACTATGGAAATAAACCAAAAGGGAGTTGAGGCCAAACACCAAAGCAATGCCTCTTTGAAAGAAGTGTGTCTTAAAACTACATTCTAAAAGTACGGGTCAAACTTTTATTTTTAATCATCTGAATAGAAAGATTTGTGCCTCCTTTCCCATCCATTAATTTGAATGCTTTTAAAACCCTCCGTGACTTACATTTTGGGTTAAAGAGTCATGATTTAATCCAGGTAAACCTGGACTGTAACACAGATATGTTGGCAAGCATGGCCAAGGCCAATTAAACCAAGAAAATGTGCACTTCAATTCAATTAATGTTTATTCAGCTATCACTATAAAATCCATAACAGATCAGTATTTTCTCTCCTATGGTGATAGAGAAGTTTTGACTTCCAAGAATTTACAAATGTGTCCTGAAAATAAACTGATTGAACAAACAAAAAACAATATAGAATAGTGGAGTACAAAGTATGAAAAGCTAAAGTGAACAATATGAAATGCTAAATTTAATATAGTTTTATGTGTCCTGGACAAAGCAAAAGAATGAGACAGATCTCATTATATTTGCCACCGAAATACCTAGAGGGTTGCAATTGAATACAGAAACATACTGGAAAGGTAAGCAATACAGCAGTTGACTATACACTCACTCAGACCTAGAGAACAAGCTAAACTATGAGTTCACAGTGCCACGGTATTTGATAGGTAGTGAGTAAAAGAAAAGCTAACTGCCTACCTTTTCTTGCTCTTGGCAAAAGGCTCTGTGGAAAACGTGGTGATAATAAGAGGGTATCACTGGGCAGTGGTAGTACACACCTTTAATCCCAGCATTCAGGAAGCAGTGGCAGGAGGATGTCTATGAGTTCAAGGATAGCATGGTTTACAGACCAAGTTCCAGAAAGAGAAACCCTGTCTCAAAAAACAAACAAAAAGTTATTGAATGAAACCTTTCAAGGGGGAATAATTCTAAAGATGGCTTTTTAGGAAAAAGTTCCTATGTTAGAGAACCTACTACAAACTTGATTGTGATATAAAAAGGGAAATATCAAAAGCCCCCCACAAAGTGTTTACCTACTGAAGGAAAGAGGGGGTCAAGTGTAGTGGTATGGATGCAGCTGAAAATTCTCTCCGTCTACTCTTTTATGTAACTTGACATTGGAAAGCATGTCAGTATCTCTAACCCTAAAGTAAATGTGGGCGGGGGGGAATTGCAGCTCTAAAACTTAAAATCAAACTAAAACAAATGACCATACAAAAACGTATTCTAAACAAGAGAAGGCAATGTTTGTTTGTATATCCTCAGTGGCATATGACCTAAGTACAAAAATATAGAAAGATCTTACAACTTCATTAAGCTTACTCCGGAAGTAAAAGTTGCTGTTATTACAAGACCATTATGTTAAAGCAGTATTGTAAGAAACCAAAAAATTCAGGAGAAAAGTATTATAAAAGAAAAAATTGACTAAGTCTTATACTGGCTGAGCCTGTGTAATAGTGTGGACTTTAGTCTATGTGTTAAAAGCTTAGTACACAGCCCAAAGCACTATTGGAAGGTAGGAGAAACTTATGGTGCATAGTGGGAGATTTTATGTTTTTGGGGACTATCCACAAAGCACCACGGCACCTCTTCTCTTCTTCCTTTAGTTTCAGGTACAGGGTGAATAGGCTTCTTTCTGACATGTGTTCCCATCACAGTGTACTGTGCTACCCAAAGCCCAAAGGACAAGGCTGATCAGTCACAGACTGAAAGCTCCCAAAGCTGCAAGTCAAAATAAAACTTTTCTTTTTTACTAAGTTGATCATTTCAGTTATTTTTATAGCAATGGAAAACTCATGAACATAATTAGCAACTGTGAAAACTAGGTGGTAGATACAGGGCTTTATTATATTATTGTCTACCTTTTTTGTTTTTGTTTTTGTTTTCTATTTTGAAACTACTTAGCACTGGCTGCCCTGAACTTGGTATGTAGACCAGGCTGGCATCAAACTAACAAAGATCCATCTGCCTCTTCCTCTAACTCCCAATTGCAGGGATTAAAGGTAGGTAGCACCATACCAGGCTCTTCTGTCTACTTTTTTTTACCCCAAGACAGGGTTTTTCTTTGTTAACAACTCTGGCTGTCCTGGAACTCGCTATCTAGACCAGGGTGGCATTAAACTTACAGAGATCCACCTGTTTCTGCCTCCCAAATAATGAGATTAAAAGCATGAGCCACCACTGCCCAGCACGTCTGTTTACTTTTTATAAAAATTTCCCCATTAAAATAAAAGATCTGAGAGGTGTAGTTAGTCCATGCCTATACTCTTATCACTCAGGAGGTAGAAACAGGAAGATCAGGAGTTTAAGGCCAGGCTCAGCTATATAGTGAATTTGAGGCTAGTATCTTGTCCTAGAGTCCAGGCTGGCTAACAATTCATAATTCTTCTGCCACCATCTCCTGGATGGATGCTGGGATTACAAATGTGCACCATCATACCCAGCCAAAATATCTTGTTGAGACAAAAAGCAATGAAAATTTCCAAAGCCAATAGGGTGTATTAAAATTATACAAAAGACAGCCTGGAGAGGTTACCTAAATATGAGACATAGTAAAATCAGAAGGAATAATTGCAGCTTATTAAAATATACTGAATATATAGAAATCCTTGAATTCATAATGGTATTTAGAAAAAAACAAAACTAAGTAGACACTACTCGTGCCAATTTATTACTCTGAAAACTGATGCTTATTTTTCCTCTTTATTATGCTTTTCTGACATGAAACATATTTCAAGTCAATCAAACAGTGCTATGTAGAAGGTGTTCTGGTAACATCTGCTAATAACCAGAAGTGATCATTTTGCAACTCTTATTAAAATAATTCGTTTAGGCAAAACTCCTATAGCTTAGGCATCCTGCCAATGTCAATCCACATTGAAAACGTCATTACCAACTGAACATACTGATGACAACATGAATCTTAGCATGATTAAAAATCCTAATCAAACATCATGGGCATTTGCATTTAAAGCAACAAGAAACAGTGCCACCTATGAAGTATTATCACAAAAAATAAGCCTAAATGTAAACAATGTATTGATTTAACTTCTACGAGAAACAGAGCAGAACAAGTTAATCCCATGAACACTAAAGGACAGCTGACCAAACTTCAAAGAGGAAAAATGCCTGTTTTCTTATTAAGAGATACAAGATATAAACCAACAAATTACAACAAGTGGGCCCACTTTTAGACCTGAATTAAATTAATTGTAAAAGGACAAAGAATGTGACAATAGAGATAATTTGCACCTGAGTATTAAAGGATCTTTAAGGAACTGCTCCTAACTGTTGAGTGTTAAAATGCAGTGTGGCTACTCAAGAAAGTATGTTTTAAATTTTGCTTCATTTGAGATACACAAATATTTGGGAACGAAATGTCAAGACAAAATAAAATTGTATTAGAATATTTTAGTGAAAAGGAAGGTTAGCCAGACAGTGATAGCGCACGCCTTTAATCCCAGCACTTGGAAGGCAGAGGCAGGCGAATCTCTGTGAGTTTGAGGCCAGCCTGGTCTACAGAGCGAGGTCCAGGACAACCTCCAAAGCTAAACAAAGAAACCTTGTCTCAAAAAAGGGAGGCTAAAGTGTTTTTTGTTTTGTTTTGTTTGTTTGTTACTTGATACTAGTCAAGTTTTGGTGTTTCAATGTAAACTTCTTATTCAAATACTTCACAATAGCTTTGAATCTAGACATCTTGACTGTCATGAACAAACCACTTTCACGCATCAATTATATTAGAGCAATAGCCTCCTGGTCTCTCTGCTTGTCTCCTCAACAATCAGAGTAATAATAATTGCATTTTAAAAGGATCATGGCATTCCTTTGTTCTAAAACAGCCAGTTAAATATGATCTCTATTTTTCTCATTTTATATTGCTCTAAAAATACATGACAATTCAAAGCAATAACATTAACAATCCATTATAACAATGCATCATAATAAACACAGTAGTAAAAGATATAATAAAGGACACAAGATGGAAAGGGAGTTCTGAAAATATGTTAGGTTTTTATACTATGACTGAAATTGGATAATATTATAAGACAGATGCAAATTGTCTAAATTACAATTTACTTCTACAAAACTAATTTAGAGATGGTTCAGAGGTTAAGAGCACTGGCTGTAGAAGTCCTGA